TTTTCTTTACAAACGACTTACAAACGATTGAGGTGCATAAAGTTCTAATTTTTCAAATTGGTGGCATTTTAGCCATTTTTCCAGCCCCTCCAACCTAAAATAGGTATAACTTTTTGGGGTTTTCTTTACAAACAAAAATTTTGATTTTTCAAACCTTTACAAACGACTTAAAATTATTGAGGTACATCAAGTTTTAATTTTTCAAATTGATGGCATTTTAGCCATTTCTCCAGCCCTCCTCCCACCAACCTGAAATAGGTATAACTTTTTGTAGTTTTCTTAACAAACGAAAATTTTGTTCTTACAAACCTTTACAAACGACTTAAAAATGATTAAGGTGCATAAAGTTGTAATTTTTAAAATTGGTGGCATTTTAGCCATTTCTCCAGCCCCCCCTACCTGAAATAGATATAACTTTTTGAGGATTTCTTTACAAACGAACATTTTGTTCTTATATACCTTTACAAACGACTTACAAACCCTCAGTAATATATGATGTACAATTTTCAAATTGGGGGGGCTTTGGAAATGTCCGTCCTGAGTGCCCTACCGCAACATGTCTCTGCTGGTCAGCGGCAGGAATCGACCAGTCCCGACCAAACGCTCTATTGTGAAACCTATGATTAGAAATAAGGGCGGTTCCATTTTCCTCCAAAAACGAGATACCATTTTCCTCCAATGACCATTTTCCTCCACAAAAAAAAAGGGTTGGTTTCCATTTTCCTCCACATTATTTTCGACTAAAGTTGTGTCTATTTTCCTCCAATATTTTAGCAAATATTTTTGTTGTAGTATTAGTATATTGCGTTCTGTTTTATAAATATTGAGTAAAGCTAGGATCACATTTTGCGCTTATCGGTTAATGATTACACTCTGGTATCGGCTATCTAATAAAGATACACCGCGAATTTATACGATATACTCGCATCAATAAGACTATATTTTTAGTAGCGAGCTGTACGTCGACTAGTCACTATAGTTCTTTTGTTTCATATTACATTTATTTTAATTTAAAAATGTCTGAAAAAGCGACGTTTATTGAAAGTTCTCGTGGAAAACGTTTGTTAATTCRTGATGATTACAAATATTTTTTAGCATATGAGTTAAAATCTGGATTATCACGTTGGCGATGTTGCTTGACTACTTGTCAAGCAGTTATATACACTAAAACTGATGAAATAGTAGCCGATGAATTATACAAAAATGTACATCCAAATCATTTGCCATCACCAAAAAAAAATAAATCGACAAATAGAGAATAACGCATGTAAACGAAAAGCAATTGACGATTTATTCTCACGACCAAAAAAAGTAATACTTAAGGAATTAGAAAAAAGTTCTGCAGACTGTTCAAATTTTGATAATACCGATATTCATAAAATTAGGAAAAATATTTATGCAGCCCGTCAATCTTTGCTGTCGAATCTGCCGAAAAATATTGAAGAGGTACATTTAGCAATCAATAATATGGACATTAAGACTACTTCCGAAGAACAATTTTTACTTGTTAATGATGATRATAAAAATGTGTTAATATTTTCTTGTTACCAAAACTTAAAATTTTTATGTGAATCTGAAATTATTTATTGCGATAGTACATTTACATACAGTGCCAAACATTTTAACCAAATGTTTACGATACATGGCTTTAAAAACGGACATTATATACCAGTTGTGTTTTGTCTTCTAGTTAATAAATCCACTGACACATATGTTAATACATTTAACCATATTAAACTTAAATGTATTGAATTACAATTGACAATAAATCTAAAATCAACAAATTATTGGTGGAAAATGGAAAGTGGAGGAAAATGGTCAAGAATTATTTTTTATTTTTTTGGAGGAAAATGGTCAGTGGAGGAAAACGGTATCTCGTTTTTGGAGGAAAATGGATACGGCCGTTTTTCCGGTCTACCCGGGTGCGTTTATTCGGATCTGCCAAACAAATATTGTGGCTAGGCCCTAATTCATAAAAATATTATGTGCTATTACTTATTATATAATATTGTAATATTCTTTTATCGATGTTAAATTCATTATTTTTCCGATACCTACTTTCTTGAAGTAATCTTTTCGAAGATATTGGTGAGGAGATTGGATTGGAGATTTGGTAGGGTTATCTTTACAGATATATTAATGAATGATAAAATTTTTTTTGTTGGTGTAAATTACTTTGGTTAGCAACGTGACTTGTTTACAGTGGCGGCTTTTACATGAATATGACCTATGACTAGGTATTGTATTTTTAGCAGCGCTGCCACGTAAGACACCATCCATATGCAGTTATGTGCATTCCTAGTTATTCGTTTACAATTTAAATATATAATTATGATGAAATGAATATTGTTCCGTACACATTGAATAAAAGCGATAATCACATTATCGTTCGTCATATCATAACAATGACTACGTTAATATCGACGAGTCTATCGATAGCATCGGCAAGAGCAGAATTAGTATACCTGTATGCAACCACCTTTTGCAACACACTCTCATACGAGAAGTTGGTAAATTGCGTCCCCCAAAAAAGGTCACTGTCATGTACTACTATGTAAATTGCGGCCCATRTACTTTTAAAACATACGTATATTGCGTCCCGGAAATTTTTGGAATGTACGTAAATTGTGGCCTGGGATATTATGATTTCCGGTTGACAGTACAATTTAAAGATAAGTATTAATCTTTGATTGATCGATTGGATAATAATAATATGTTCACTAATATAATATTACTAGCAGCCAGTGTGCATTTGATCGAAGATATTACGCACGAGGTTTTACGTTGCTCAACAGTTTACATTTTTTTTTCAATTTTATTCAAATTTATTWWCCAWTATCTATACAATTATATTGACAGTCCTAAGTCTGAAAAATGAGAAGGAAAATATTGATTTTGCAAAAAAAGCCTTAGACATAATTATTATTTATAAATAAAAAATATTTAGGTAGGCATACATGCAAAATTATACCCAGGCCGCAATTTACATATGTATAAAATATACCCAGGCCGATATTTATGTAAATATAAAATATACCCAGGCCACAATTTACGTATGTAAAAAATATACCTAGCCCGCAATTTACATAAAAAATTAAGAATGGGGCGCTATTTACAGCGACCGCTCATACGCATAGGTACAAACCGTTAGTTTATATATTAAAACCGGTTTGGAGTTTCTGGGTTGACTTTTAGGGCCTGGGTACAAAACTTTGAAAGCTCGCCCTGGCCGAATAACTTACTTGMAAACTCTGAGAATGGACTTGCAAACTCTTGCTAACTGTAGGAAATGTTTTAAAACCAGTTTGGAGTTTCTGGGTTGACTTTGAAGGGCTGCGTGAAGTTGGCCCTGCAGTATCATTATTTCCGATAACTTCCATAATTGGAACTTGCAAATTCTAAAAATAGTCTTGCAAATTCTTGCAAACTACTTGCTAACTCTGAGCATAATTTTCAAAATGTTTTAACATAGTTGAAGGCCAACTTCACGGTCACGAAGGAACAAGTCTCAAATAGATTATTTTATGGTGAGAAGAGGTTATGCGAAATAGTGTAAAGATTGCAAAGTAATTCTAGGAGAAAATATGACAATACAGCATAGACTTATGATCATGGATATCTGGTGCAATAAAAAAAGGGTGACCAGAAGGAACAAAATAAAGAAGAAAACTAGAATTAGGTGGTGGAAATTATGTGGTGAGAATGAAAAACTATTTACACAAAAGATAAGAGAGATTGGTGTAGTGATTGTAGAAGGGAGTATAAAARAAGTGTAGGAAAGTGTATTGGGTAATACTAGAAGTGTGGCTAAGGAAGTTTTAGGTGAAAGCAGAGTTAAAATTCCAGAATATGAAAAACATGTTGGCGGGAAAAGGATGTGAAAGCCATAATTTCAAAGAAAAAAATCCCAGTTTGGTAAATCTAGGAGAAGAGAGGATTGGATTGAGTACAAAAATGTGTGTAAGGCAGCAAAAAAGCAGTAAGTAAACAAAAATTAGATAAATATGATGAGTTRTATGAGAGATTGGGAACAAAGGAAGACGAAATTGAAGTGTACAAGCTAGCTAAGAGTAGAAACAAACCAAAAATGTTCTAAATGTAAGATGCATAAGAGACGAAGATAAAAATATGTTAACAAATGACAAGGGGATATTGAATAGATGGAAAAGGTATTTTGAAAAATGTTTAAATGAGAAATTTTCTAGCGAAGAAGTAGATCAATTTGAAATAAACTTTGGTGTGGGCAATTTAATAAGAGAGGGTAAAGTGTGGAGGGTGGTTAGAAAAATGAAAAATAGAAAAGTAGTAGGTCCAGATAGAATATCAGTAAAACCTTGGAAAGTGCTAGGGAGATTAGGAGTAGACTGGTTGACAAAATTCTTCAACAAATTATTAGTTGGAGGAAAAATTCCAAACGCTTGGAGAAAGAGTTATGTGATACACCTTTTCAAAGGAAAAGGAGATGTACACGAATTTGGAAACTATAGGAGAATAAAACTTATGAGTCACACTAAAAGAAAAAGTTATTGATTTAAGGATTAGACGTGAGACCAAACGTTCGTCAAACACTTGGGACTAAAAATGTCTAACTATATTATAATCATATATGACAGAATTATATCTACCAGCAATCTCAGAAGAAGTAGTGACGTGCATATTGATATCCACAATGATATTCCTTCCTCTATACTGTTTATAGCATTGAATAAATATTTTATATTTATATTAATAATAATTTATATTCATAAAAATCTCAATTGACAAAAAAAATATATTGTAAGCTTCACTTATATTCCCCCCAGTTCTCCAACCATTTTTTATAAACTCTTTGTAGAATCAATTCAATCAGTCTTCTCGACCAATAACGATTGCACTCTAATACTTTGTGGTGATTTCAGCCTTACTGAACTTAGAATACCTACTTAGAATGATGATGAATCTGACCTCAAGGTTTTTGAAAGTAAATGTCAGTTGGATATTTTCTTCGCAGACTTTGAGAAAACCTTAGATAGAATCAATCTTAAAATTTTAATTCAAATTCTCAATAAATCAGGGTTTGGTGATACGCTATTGTCTTGCTTCGAATTATACTTTCCCAGGAAGAAATTAAGATTGAAAATCAATGGGCATACATCCAAAGTCTCTTTTATTCCTCTATCTGTTCCTTAAAGAGGCCACCTGTCACCTTGTTCATTAAAGGTATCAAGGAAATGCTCCATAATAGTAATATTCAAGCGTCTTTTCCTTGAATATAATTCAGCTCTCTGGGATCCTCACAAAGCCTCCAACCCTGCCTCAATATGTACAAATATAATATATATATAATTTTAAAACACTTATAACTCATTTCAAAATTAAAATATAGTAAAAAGCTCATGAGGTCGTCTAAATAATATTCTTACCTTTAAATTTTATTACTTATAGGTCAACTCACTCTAATTTTTAAACTAATTGAGTTAAACGTGATTTTCTGAGCGTAAAATTTGCTGTRTTGCGCACTTGTCAGACAGAAACAACACATGYGGGTATCACGTCCTCTTAATACATTTTTATAATATTTTAAGTAAATTATTTTAGTTTTTGTGGTTATATTAATATAACAATATCTGTATTGCTGTCACTGACGAATATTGATAAGTATCTGTTTGAAGGTTTTTGGAAGCTAATGCTTCTCTGTGAATCATACAATGGTTAAACATTATATTTGTAGACATTTCTACTAATTTAGCTTTAAAACCTTTTTTTTTTTAACCAATAAGGTAGCTGTATCATCAGTACATAATTATAACACTCTCTCATTAGCCAGTGATTTTCATTTATTTATAAAAAAATGTTTATAAGAACAAAACATCATTACCAGTTTTACGTCCATCTTATGGTAGGTAAAATAACAAGTATTTTTTAAGTTAATTTTTATAAGAATATATAACATACACAAGAAGTAAGCAGATTAGATGTACCACTTATACCCGACGATTATAATTGCATAGCAAAATAATTTCCTCGTAATCTATTTAGGAGTTATTATTTCATAATATCAGACATATTTTCAATTTGAGACACGACACAGTATTTCTTGATAAGGACATTGTTTTTAATTAATTTATATCTGACTCACCATGCATAATTTATACTATTTTTATGGCAACTGGCAAAACCAGATTTTCGCCAATAGAGTGTGGTTTTTTGGTTTTCGCAATACTTTATGTGGTTTGGTTTMAACTACATTTTCATTATCACTATTCATCGGTTGTTTGATGAAAAATGTATCCATATCGATATATTAGTATTTGTAACAGTTTGGCTGCACTGTCGTTCTGGCTGTCTGCCTAGTAGGTTAGGTTAATATTATAATATATATTAAACAAGATCATGTACGAACTCGTGTATTACAATTCCTTATAATGTATTTAACTTATTAATGTAATTAAAGACTATAAGTACGTTTATTATAATGTTATGCGTGTAGTTATTATTTGAGCGTCTAGATAGGAATTGTACATTGGCGACGAAGGCAAAATGGTTTACTGTTATGGTAAGGTACGTTGACGGCAAACATTGAAGTGATGGCTTCCAGACAAGTTCCATGTGTTTGGTAGTATCGGTACGGTTTCGGAGTTTGAAGCAACGGACGATTGGAAGTTGTACCAGGAAAGGCTGGAACAATATTTCCTCGCTAATGGCATAGAAGAAGGAAGGAAGGTTCCGGTGTTGCTGTCAGTGGTTGGATTAAATACTTACAAAATAATTAAGGATTTGAGTGATCCTATTTTGCCTAAAGATAGGCCGTATGCAGCAATTTTTGATTTGTTGAATGGTCATTTTTCTCCAGCAGTTATGGATCCACCGTTAGCCAAGTTAATTAAATTGCCAGATAGTGTTGGTGTTTTTGACAGAGTGCAAGTTGATTTTTTAGGTCCAGTCTATGGAAAAATGTTTTTAATTTTAACAGATGCTTTTTCTAAGTGGCCTGAAATTTATTAGATGCCAAAGACAGATGCTGAGTTTTTGGTAGACAAGCTCAAAGATATCTTTGCAAGGTATGGTTTGCCAAATAAAATTGTGTCTGACAATGGCCCACAGTTTGTTTCTGCAGAGTATAAAGATTTTTGTCATCCGTCCACAAATGGGGCAACATGAGAATGCGGTTAAAACTTTCAAAGCTTGTTTTTTAAAGTTTATGAAGGACAGTGGTAAGAGTATGTCAGTTAGTTCTGTGATTAGTAGGTATTTGTTTAATTATAGGAACACTCCACATTGGGTGACTGGGGAATKCCCTTCAATGTTAATGTTTGGTAGGAAAGTGCGTACTAGGTTGGACTTATTAAAGGAGTTTGGAGGTAGAAAAGAGGATCAAAGTAGACATTTTAAGGGAAAAAGAGAGATAGAGTTTGAAGAAGGAGAGATGTGTTTTGCCAGGGATTATAAAAATCCTAATAAAAGGTCTTGGAAAAAGGTTGTAGTAGAAGAGGTTCTTGGAAAAAAAATTTATCTAGTRAGGATACTAGAGAATAATGTAGTTTGGAAAAGACATTTAGATCAAATGATTAAGTCTGGTGATTTTTATAGAAATCCTGATGAAAATTTAAGTTATGAAAATAAACAAAATGAACAAAATAGTGAGTAAATAATGAAATAGGTAAACAATTATATGATGACTTAGAGTAGGAGTTAGTAAAGGAAAAGGTGGAGGTAGTATTTGATGAGACTACTGTTGAGACTCCTAAAAGTATWGAAAATGGTARGTGTGAAAAGCGACCTGGATGAGGAAAAATATAAAAAAAGTAATAAAATTAGATCTATAAGGTTTTATATGTGTACTTGAATTATTATTATTATTATTATTTTTGTTTTTGTTTTTATAAAAATTGTTTTATGTTGATTATGTATGTATTACGAATATGTTATTACTAAGTACGGACCTTAGGGCAG